GGGTACGCCATGCAAACCAACTGAGAACAAAAATGTATCAGCCACAAGCAACAGAATCCACCAAGCTTCCATTTGACCTGTTGACAGACAGCTTCAACTTGCCTACAGAGCCGGTAGAAGAATCCTGTCATCAGACGAATGGTACCAGGCCGCAGAGCACGGAATCCGAATCCAGAACACTACAGCCAAGGCGATGCAGCGGCAGGCGAAGAACCCCTTCCAGGAGGCTTCAGGTTAACCTCAGGCTAGCATCATACACAACGGCAGCAGCTTCAGGATGGGTGGTATCCGGGAATCAGATAAAAACATAAAAGAAACAAGGAAAGTGTATAATGGTGATTGAAAGCTGGGCTGAAGGGAATCGCCTACCCCGTCCGGTCGATCAGGCAATCGATCGAGCGGACGAATGCGTTTTCAAACACCCAGCTAATTGAACTTTTGCCTCAGAGTTGAGATGGCAGTGTTTTCGACGGCATTATCTGGCTACGTTGGCAGAGCTTTTTGTTAACACGTTTTTCGTGGTCAAGACTGTTGGAATGTTGATTTCTCTTCGGCTGGGCTAGAATTTAAACGGAGAAATTTTTGGGTGGTTAATTCGGAATAGCGAAAAAAGGTGAAGATCTAACAGTTGGACTGAACTATCTTTCAGTTGAGCGGTGGGTACCTTCGGTTCGGATCTACTCAAGCTAACGTGGTAACGCCCTTTGTCTCAGTTCGTGGACCACCCGACTATATACATGAGCAACAAGCTTTCGTCTCCAATGGATCTCATTTTTGCGAAGTCACACCATCCCATTAGTGATATTATTTACGACTATCCTCTAGGAGCCAGTGACCATGTCTGCATATCTTTCCGATGTGCTCCCACTAAGCATCATCAGGCCACCGCTGTGGCAAGCCCAAATCTTTGGCGGGCAGACTTCAGCGCAATGCTAGACAATGCTTCAGTTCTGCGTTGTGCGATCTCCGTGGCTGACACTGTTGAGTCAGTCTGGGGGAATTCGAGTCATGCCTAATCGAGGTCTCTGTGCACCAAATCCCACTCATTAAAATAGGAAGACACGTACAGCCTCCATGAATAAAGTATAGCGGCAAATACCTGCTCAGGAAGCGTTCTAAGTGCTGACAAACTTACCATGCGGCTTCATCAGCCAGCACCTACGTAAGCTATCGAGCAGTTAGAAATGTATGTAAGAAAAATCATAGGAGTGCTCGTCTTCAGTACGAAAAGGGTTTAGCTGACGCAGCCGCAACAAATCCAAAGAAGTTCTCTGCTTACGTAAACAGGCGCAGCAGTACAAACTCGTCTATACCATCGTTACTACGAGCAAACGGGACCCGTGGGCATACCGACTAGGATGAGGCTTATGTACTTAGCGGACAGTATATTAGTAGCTTTGCTCGTGAAACCACTCTACCTCAGATTGAGATGTTCACAAGAGTCCTGGAGGATCCTTGCCTAACTGAAATCAGCATAACGGAGACACAAGTCTTCGGGCTATTGAAGGATTAAATTCTTCCAAAGCTGATGCATGAACTGGCGGCTGAACTAAGTGTCCCGCTTACATGCTTGTCTACACTATCGCTCGACAGCTGTGTCTTCCCTTCGCAATGAAAGAAGACAAGCATTTGTCCGGTTTTTAAGAGCAGTGACAGTGCTTTTCGCGCGAACTACCGGCCTGTCAGCTTAACAAGAGTAGTAGTAGTTAAGTTGTTTGAAAACAGGTCAGGGATTCGGTAGAGAATCACCCTGTAAATGGGCATCGGCTTTTCTAGAATGGAGAGAACAGTGTGTACGTGTGGGGCGCAGCCACTTGCTTAGACAAGCTGTCCTTAGAGGCGCTCCGCATGGCTCGGTTTAGGGTCGTTGAATTTCGCAATTTATGTCAATGACCTACCTCTGGAGCTTGAACTACTGTCGCCATTGTTTGCTGAGGACTGCAAGTTCTGGAATCTTGTGAATATCCCTGGGGGCTATGAGGCAACTCAGAGTGCCTTGGATAGGCTCTAGGATTGGTCAACTTTATGGTTTGTGCCCATAAATCAGGTGAACTGTCCCGTCCTTCGCATTGGAGGTGCTGGTCCCCCTACGTGATATGTAGTTGGTGGAAGCGAAATCCCTGTTGCCACTCAGCAGATTGATCTAGGCGTCGTCCACACCTCAGTGCTTCACTCTGGGTACAATTGGAGGAAGGCTGCTATTAGAAAGTTCCGTATGATGTGGTTTATTCGCCACTCCTTTGGTGTCTTATACGCTTATATAGTGATGAAGCCTTTCTTAGTTTTTGTGCAATCCCACCTAGAATATGCCATCCAGGCATGTCAACCATGAGTTCCAAGAACATAATGGAACTAGAGAGGGATTTGGGAGTAGGTACAAGGGTATTGCAGGGTTTACGAGCCAACCGTATCCCGAACGTTTGCATATCTTTGGTATGGACCCAATACACTACCGGAGAATTAGGGGAGAATTGATTTTTACTTACCGTATCCTAACGGGTAAGATCCGTCCAGACCTGTCCTGGCTGCTTAGTCCCTCAAAACTGCTTACTCTCCCAGCTCAACCGTAAAAGCTGCACAAACTGCGTTCTAACCGGGTAAGAACGGAAACTCGCTTGTTGTACCGGGTTATTGAACCTTGGAAGTCGATTGCGCAGCACGTCGTTAAATAAATTACGGTTGAGGGTTTTAAGCGTCAGTTAGATGCGCTTAGGTGACAGTACCAAACCTTCCCCTTCTCCTAACCAACTTGTATCTTCAGCTACCTGCTCGTTTATTTTCTAGTTCTTCTCATACCTTGGTGTTATCATTATTTAGCTTACATCCCTTATCTCGTTTTGTTAGCTTGCACTTCACTCTTTCTTACTTCACATAAATTGGCCTGGAAAGGACTGTTGGGCAGGAAAAGTGAACAGTACTTGGTTGGACTGGGTGTGATGTGGTCTTTTTTAAACTTTGAAACATCCCAAGCTGATCTATCTTTTCCCGGTTCAACGACACGCAAAAGAAGGAACATTCATGGAATTATCCTATCGTTCCGGTCCCAATTGAACTTAAACTTGAAAGCATATTATGTTGAGGAAGCAAAACAGTTTCTGAAAAACACAACATACAAGTACAGCAATATTATTCGATGTTGCAGATAACACATTAAAGAAACAGCACACTGACAAATTCAGCGATTGAAGGAAATCACAAAGGTAGAAAGGAGTAAAATGAGATCGTTGAACTCGAACATCGCATAATTCTATAAACTTTAATAACTTCCTGAAGGAATGTCCCGTTGCAGCTAATTGTCAACATTCCAGGCGCATCCACCTGTAAACTGGCAAAGATCTAGTACAGGTGTCTTAAAAATTTAACCAATGGGTGGAACCACTCCGAAAAATGTGCTCAGCAATTTCTTCGGTAACACAAAAGCACGCAAATAGATTATGATCGAACAATAATTTTCTTTCAAGTCACTGCTACACTCACACATGTCAATTGGCAGCTGGCAAAGATGTCCTCATAGAAGAGCTGAGAAACTTCGGAGCAAAAATTGGGCATATGGTGACCGTAAGTATTTTCACGCTTTCAAACATTGCCTCACTACTTACTTCACGTTCAACAGAGAGACCTAAGCTATAGTGGAGAGGGTACCAATAAGATCTCCATTATCAGAACTGAGAAATGAGATTCTCAAGTAAAAGCTAGAAAAAAACGAACTAGCAACGATTGACACAAAATTGTAGGCGCATTACGTCGACGATACAGTTAGTAATAATCAAACCTAGTGCAGAACAATTGCATGCCAACTATTCAAAAATGCAATGGGTGGTACTCAGTTTCCAATAAAGTTAACTATCGGAAACATGGGCCCATTCTTGAACGTTTTGGTGACCAGAACAATGGTGGGTAAATTGCAAACATCCGCTTAAAGGGAAGGTATAAATACTAGCCAAATATTGAACTTTAACAGTTACTCATTCAAAGTGCCACAAAATAAGCTGCGTGAGGACATCTTTTCACAGAATTGAAGTACACCGCAGCATCGCGGAAGCAAAACTGGGTAGAAGCTAGATGCTTAGTTAACTCATTTGTACGCAACAAATATATACGCACTTCATCCGCAGATGTTTAAACCGCAAACAAACAAACATCGAGTCGACGCCAAAAACAAGCAAACCCAGCGTTTTATTGTGAAATATATCTGAAATATTTCTGAAATCGACAAGGTTGTTTAAACAACATCATATCATCGTTGCTCGCAAGACAACCGCCAATTACAGAATAACATCAACAAGCATATAGAAGAATTGGGAGGCAAAAGAAGGAATAAATGTCATGTGCAACATAAATCGTAATAAGATAAAAATAAGTAACTGAAATAGGTAGAAAATGAAATTATCTACCAGGACACAGGAACATAAAAGGGCTCGCACGTAGATGGGCAGAAACATAGCTTTGAATGAGGCAAAAAAAGCTTAGCACAGGCTGAGACATAAAATGCAAGCAAATTTTTAAAATTATGGTTCTAATCACCCAATTTGATAAACCTGCGCATTGATATTGACTCCTTAAGCCAGTTACCTTGAAAAAGATCTCCGGCGAATCAAAAAGCAAAGTACAAGGTGATATATGTGATGAACAACTCAAGTGACTGGGTTAGCCGGGGAAAATGGACAAAGATTATATGGCGCAACCCAAAGATGTCACTATCAAAAGTCAACTGCTTGTTGATAACGGGTAGACGATCCAGTCAGCAAAATTGCCCACTGCAGGTTACCGCGCTGATGATACCCCATTGCATTGTCGCAAAACGTATGTAAGCATTTAATCAAGGTTGGAAAAGCAGTCCATTGATTACAATGGCTCAGCTTACCTCCAGTAAAATCAGCACACAAAAACTAAAAATGACTCGTTACTTAAATTGTAGAAAATGTAAGTTTACATGTGCGGTCAGTGTAAACGGAACATGCATACGAGGGATAGACGTGTGCAACACATCTCCGGCTCACTTCGTCATCTTCGAGCTTCCAAGGTCTTGGTCCACTGGTTATGGTTAGTGGTCCATTCAACAGCGGTTGGTACAGGCGCCTGCAATCGTACTCGCTCTCAGCAAAAAACGCCCATGGCTTGTAATTTTCTCCATCCAGAGAGCGCTCGAGAATCCAGTTTGCCGGTCTTGGACTGTCGCCCATTCTCAGTAGCACATACACAATTTGGTAGACCTGAAAGACAGTCAAACAAGCCAAACCAAATAACCAGGGGTACTTCAACTGGAAAGTGTCATAGGTAAAAGAGATTGAGACAAAAGGGTGTATTCTTAAAGATAACCCGCCTGAAAAGTACATTATAAATAATTCGTCTGTTCTTCTGAATCCTCGTAGTATAATACGTGACTCGGCTTTCAGTAGAAGAACTATGGAACAAACTGAGTAATATTGCAGGGAACATCAGAAGCCACTTGATTCAACAAAGACATTCTATGGAAATGTTTAAAGAGGTGAATTTTTGCCATTTCTAGTGTTGGCATGCAGTGTGTTCAACTTAGATTGTAAAATGCAACCTGTGGAGCAAAAATGTCTAAACGACTTTCCTATAAAATCATTTAAATGTAGCTGATGTAAAAACAAAATTACTAAATACTAACCTGAAACTGGTCTGCATTTGATATAAGCGCGGCATAGCACTGGTATAAGTATAGCAATCGCGGATGTTCCCAATAAGTAAATACCGAAGTAGGAATCAAAAGCTTTTATAAAGCGTGATACAGCCAGCTAATAACTGCTTTCCATAAAGCATACCAACAACAACAATACCAACAACAACAAGAAGAAGAAGAAGAAGAAAAACAAAAACAGCAACAAGAAAAACACCAATTTGGAATGCACTGCATCCGTCTTGGTACAAAGGTTTTCACTCAAGGATACTGAGCATTTCTTAAGAAAACCTCTGTCTTTGAAACCAAAAGGAGCTCTTTCTTACCCTACAGGCCGATGGGACGTTTAGTCAACAGCAGGATGGAAATAAATTTCAAAGTTCTCACGCCATCTCAGCTTAACTTGGATATGCAAAACTCGCTATTCCTGTAGGACTCCATAATTTAGCTGCTGGCAAATAATGACTTTTTCGACTTTTCATATATGTAAAGGTAAAGTACCAATAAATTAAACCGCTGGCAAGTAAATAGAGAACAAAGATAATCGGATGCAATACATAGAAATTAGCCAGCTACCTTAAAATGCATTTATTTGTTTACAATTTCTTTTCATTAAAGTCAACAAATCGCACACGTTTGTTCAATGAATTAGCTATGAAGATTAAAGTTTAAAACTAACAACATGGCGTAAAGTATTAATAGTTATAGTAAGAGACGGTATCTTGAACATGTAAACATATGAGGATTTCGTTTGCTTAGTTGAGACCGGCGCATACTGCTTCACATAGACCGTTTGCACAGTCTCGTGATGAAATTTTCATGTTTGGCCTACCTGTCTAAAATCCATCGTGATTGTTACCGCATGGTATTTCAAACCTTCAGCTAGAGAAGGGCTTTGCCACCATAAGTGAGATTCACCACTCAGAACGTATTCGATTGGATGACTCAGTTTCGGATCACTGGCGTCGCAAAAGCTGCACTGCACCCAATGTCCACTTGGATCACGATATGATTGTGATTGTTTTTGATATGTTACCACTTGCCTCTTCTTGCGCTCATTACTAAAGAAAAATGTAAAGCGCGATTTAGACAACCATCCTAGTAGCTATTTGCGATATCAATGGTGACTTTTATGAAGTTTTCCTTTACTTGTTGCATGGCAAGAACAACATGAATATTCATCTATAAAGCAGAATTAAATAATATAGTCTTATACTAATCACCTTAAATCTGTATATAAAACATTAAAACATCAGGCGAAAAGCGGACTTTAGCGTGGTGTGATGGTTTATGCGCTTTAGTGATCCCTTGGGCTATGTTGGCGGTAGTTTTTTACCTTTAGAGCCACTCATACCAAATTTGTCATTGATTACTGGCCTAGCAAACTCAGTCACCTAGCCTACCTTGTTGGGAGTTCGAGGAATGGTAACTTACTCTATGAAACGAAATCTGGGTGGTACAGTGCCAAAATCCTGCTGCCTTGTGGACAGGATTTTAAACTAAGGCCTTGGTTGAGAACCCCAATAGTTCCCTTGTCTAGGCGTGGGCAACCTGACAGTATCCGGCACATGCAACACAACACATTAAACGTAAAGCTGTGCAATGCGCTCAATCCAGATTAAAGATGGTTTACAAAAATTCAAAATAAAATATGCGCAGTAGGTTACAGTATGATTAAAAAAGCTATTTTTGATAGCACAATAGATAATACATTTCTAAAAAAGTTGTATATTAAACTGTTTTGGATGTATATAACTGATGCATATACATAGTGCCTAAGTTTCAAAATCTGGTTTTGCACCTTATTGTTCATTTTGAGTGCTTTCAGACTCAATCACTATTAATAGTAAAAAGAATTTTTACTGAAGAATACACTTCTGAATTCAACTCGTTGCACGACATCACAACCTAAGTACTATAGGACACGCGTGAGCACACTAGTGTACAACAGTGCAATACATTTGCCCAGGTAGTCTTCATCCTAACAGGAATCCACATGTCCTCCAGATTTAGATTATCTTTACCTACAAGCCTTGAGCACTAATACAAAATGGAGTTGGTGCGTTTTTAGAAGTTAACCTGGAGGGAAGTTTCAACAAAAGCAGCAACACGCCTATGTAACCGGAGAGCCCTATGAATAAAATGCATGTAGAACAGCTTTAAGTTTATATATTTTAATGATGAGAGATAGCTAACCAGCGAATGCAGTCCTTAACATCCTGTACATAACAACGCAGTCACTAACCACCCTGGTTACTACAGGTAGATACCAAGGCGCAATTTTTCGATAACAATGGATAAAGGTTTGAACACTTGTCTTGTTATATACAACCCTCGTTTTTAGCGTACTTAAGTGCAGGCAACCTACCTTTACTAAACTTATCAAACAACTGTTAATAGTCGCTACGCAACGACACGTCGATATAAGGTACCTGATTGCTGCTGGTTCTTAGTATGTTACGGAAGGTGTAAAGGTGTGTGATAATTTTTGCTAGCCTACATAATACAAGCTGTATAACGTGCTTCGCATTACAACGGCACCTTACATCATTTCGTTACAAAACGAGGCTATCTGTGATAAAACAGCACGTGAGCACATGATACTGGATTATCAAACGTTTTGCTTTATTCCATACCAGTGGAGTAGCAAATAATTTTGTCGCCTATGGACGTGGTAAGCTTTTCAACCAGAGTGGCAGTTGCAAGCCCACAAATTAACGCTATTAAAAACAGCCGTCTAATATTCGTTTCATAGAACAAAATATATCTGTTTTAAAAATGTCTCTGGAACTATACGTATTTGTATCGTAGCTAAACACGTATACAAACTTGAGAGCCATAAGTTTTGTGCTTCACGTTTGACAAATTATCAATAACCCGAACAAAATTCAGCCCATCCGCAACATTCTTCACTATGAAGAGAACAGCCGATTTCGTGCGCAGCTTCCAGCGCATTGCTTATCAAAGATATTTCTTCAGATGTTGGCTTTTCGAGAAAGAGCGCTCAAAGCAGTTACTGCTATCATTTCGGTAAAAAATGCATAACATGATCACAATGTTTAGTGAAAGTTCCCCAAGGTGACATTTCTGAATGAAGCTCAAACCTCTAGACGGTTTACTGCTTTTGTTCCGTTTCTGAAGCTGTCACAAAAAACTATACTCTTCTTTCTTTATCTTACTCAACTTCGCGAAGCGGACAATCATAGTTATCATCAAACAAATTCGACGGTGTAAGTAAAGCATCTTTGTTTGCTAAGTTATGTATGTTCTAAAATCAACTATATATTTCCTCAAGTAACTTGTCCATGACAGGCAGTGCTGCCCAGTTTGACTCAGCATAAAATTCCATCAATACACCAAACAGTTTTTCATCATTGATTCGTTTATTTTTGCAGATGCGACGCCCAATTCTTATCACCAATTCAGCGCAGTTCTTTTAAATCACCTATTACACTGTCTACTATCTTTTTCTTTACTCTTAGTTTAGCAAATTCTCAACGCTACGAGCTTGATAGCACTTCAATGCAGAGCCAAGCTTTTATTTGAAGATAACTTTTGCATACTAAATTTCTGTCAGCATAAATCGATAACGGCTCAAATCTAAAACAATTAGAAACGAGTGCACTGATTTAAGAATTAAGGAGATAGCTGAACTTTTGTTTGCACTTAATCCCTGTTCTTTTAGCAGTGACGATTTTTAAGTATATCTTTTCTACAACATTTACAACGTCTGCTAAACTACTCAATCCTGTTTGGCTGCTTGACTGCTACTTACACTGGTCAGTGCAATAAAGTCATTCCAGCTATATGTAGCTGTAGAAAAAACAATAAGAACGGATACATTGTGCCGAACGATGGAACGGAGCAAACTGCCGCAAAGGCTATTTGCCCACAATCCGGCTTCAGCAAATAGTTTGTGCATAGCTCAAATGTAGCTTCTGGGTTTATTGCGCAGATGCGCCTCTGAACGCAAGAGCGGTAGCCCGCCATTTTGGCAGCCACACTGAATATCTAGCCAGTGTCGTCCTTAATCTGAATTCCAGCTTGCTTTATTTCCCTCAAAATCAGTCCAGAAAATTGCGTTTAGCTTATGTTGCTAATATCAATAAAGTACGGAAACTATCCTCAAACCATCACTCCATTTACGTCCACGTTTACCCATCGCACTACCTCATTCATCTGATTTTTGTGTAACCCATTGGCAGTGCTATCGGAAATAAAGCCAAAATAGTTCCACTCCTTGACTTACAGCATGAGTTTTTTCTTACATCCGCAAAATGCACGCAAATACACTTTATACCTCGGGAAACAGACAAAAGTGCTTGTTTTCTTTTCCAGCTGAACTGTCAACAAGTGTACTAATACTGAAACATTCCTTTTATTTTTCCACCTAATTTAGCATCCTTTAGACGTTTTCAATGAACACGCAGGAACATGATCTGCTTGAGAAAAATTTTAACGGGATCTAGTCTTTTAGCTAAAGATTCACACCAACTTCTTGTCTCTTTTTAGACATATGCTTGCTTTTTTGCTAAATGCCTATGCTTTAAGTATTCAAATCTTTAGCTCCTTTTACTTGAACAGTGCCTGAGCATGCTGTGGTTGATGCTGCAACATTTATGCATCTTCAACTCTGTTCAGCTAGTGAGTTACACTTACACTTGTTCGGCATTGCACTAGATCTGGTCGAAACAATTTTATTTTATTTGCCCACTGCCGCTAATCCTCAGCATATTCTTTGTTTATTTGTGCGGTCTTTTAAACACATTTTTGGTGTTAATTTTTGCCATCTTTTGAGTTACACTTGCAGTTTCCAAATATTACCCATATACTAGTTTAGACTAAATACACATTTTGAGTTGCCTTGTTCCGTCATTCTGTTGTATATTTACTGCCCGTGTGTTTATGTTTATTTTCTTTCATATGCTTTGTTGCTGGTTTGCTAGTGCCGCTGTAGTTGCGCTTTTAGTAAATTTTGACTAGGTTCCCACCAGTCAAAAATCTGCTACATCGACTTTACTGGTTCCACAAGACAGCTAGTCGTTACTTGGAGAGTCGGGGTGTATAGCGCTCGGCACAGTGCAAGGTTACAAAAGCGGTTCCATGCATTCAGTCCGCAACGAGTCACAGCCTAATCACCGTATTAGGTACGTCAGGTACGCGTAATCCTTCCGATAAGGAGTGTGGGCCGACGCTGTTGTTGAAAACTTGATCACGGCTACATGCCCCTCGGTGTTATTCCCTCGAGTTTAAAACTGAATACGGGGTGTGTTGGCAGAGCTTTGGATGGTGAAGCGCAGGTCACACATGGTTGCTTTATAAGTTCAGACGTCATATGGCTCTCCATGTGGAGGCCAAAATGACAGGCAAGTCCGGAAGCTGATGCCGTTAAATATGTTTCTGTACTTGTGACTATACAGATAGAGCACGAAGGCCAGAGTCAGCAAAAAATGACATGTCGGCGCTTATATTGGACTGTAAAACCCTTTATACTGACGGATTTTGGTGCGAGAGTGCAGTATGTTCACGGGTAACGACAATAAGAGCGTTGTGTAACGACACAGCCGTGTGCAGGAGTAAGAAGAACACACGAAGGCTAGATGTGACAAATGGCGTAAATGTGATTTTGGTTGTCCAGAGCAATAATAATCTATTCGGCTATTGGCCTGTTAGGAAATTTTTCCGTTTAACCTAGGGATTGAACAATCACCTGTGCTAAATTGCTGCCTTTTATCACCCGCCGCTCTATGCAGACAGACCCCGCTCTTCTCTAGCTACTCCACTGTCCTATACCCTAGTTTTGTAACATTATATGACAAATATTACTCGAAAGCTCACCGCCTGTAAAGCAGCGCACTCCCAGCGTGTTCGACCAATCTGCAGTAGTATTCCCTTCTCGTGGTACCACAAGTAGCATTCGCCGTAATGATTGCATTCTCCTCCAAAATAGAGTCTGGATCCATATCCAGGAAATCTGGTTCATACGATAAATCTATAAACAGCCAAACAGTGATGGAATTTTCTCAAGAGAGGTCCTAATGGCAAAAAGCTACATCTATTTTAGGACACGATAACCCAAATGGCACTAGTAAAGGGAACAAGAAGCCAGAGTTATTAATAGCGTAATAGCAACGCTTAATATCAGTAAACTTATTCGTTGCAACTAAATGACTTGCTCACGAATCCAATTACTGCTTCGATTTCACACGGATTGTTTAGGCCCGAGGTTAACGCAACGTCAACATTCGTAAAGCATTCAATTTAATGTAACGTTATGTAAATACTCGAAGCGATTCTGAGAATTAGTATAAACTCGCATAAGGCTTAAATGCTGTTATGGATATATATACAATAACTGACATTTTAGGACTACCAAAATTCTGCAGCGCTTAGACAATCAGTAAATTTTTTAAAATCACTAATCAGGTAAATCCAAATATTGACATCGTAAACTTGTAAATCTATTCATTTCATAAACTGTACTGTTCGTAATGCGTTGGAAAAATAGCACACCACCGATAATTGCCACTTGCGATTGCGCCCATAATAAAAAACAAAAATCCTCGGCTGACACCAGCAACCGAGTTTTGTACGCTGAAGTGACTGCTATAGAGCTTTGAATGAGTTCACTATGCGACCCTAACAGTTCTAGTGCTGCACGTTTGGTCACCCTAAGAACAAGGAAAAAACTTTCCATTGTAGCTTTAAGTTTGACGCGAAGGCGTTTATCTTGGTTTCGACTAAGGTAAGTACTCTGCAGGCACCGATTTTCTAATTATAATGATGCAATACAGAGCGTTTAATTTTATAAGTGAACCATAGATGCGGGAAATTTGTCTCACTAAGGCGACCAAGGGCACGCAAATTGGTCACTCAGCGGTAGCCCCTTATTTATTCGGGCTAACCGGGTATGCCTTTTATTAAAGGTTAAGGTCGGCAGCGTTATCAATGCCTTAAGACCTTTATTCCTAGTTTAGACATAAAACTACATTATTATTCTTACTTTAGGCAAGTTAATAGGAATGGCATGAATCGCCTCTACAGGGGAAGGAAAGTAGCCCAACTGTGCGGACAAGTTGGAACATAGTTTCACCTATGGTGCAACAATGTTAATGTAAGCATGTCATGGGGATGATAGCGGAGAAGATGTGGGTGCACGCTGCACAAGAAACACGGTATGATTTCTGGTCATGGAGAAACACAACATTCTTTTACATAAGCATGAGAAAATAAGCAACTAAAATATGCGTAACTGTTAGCCCACTTGATAAAACTAGTTAAGGACTAGTGACATTCACTGCTGCTTTATTAGCTGATATTAGTTAATATACTTAGGCTATGCGGTTTGTTCTTCAGCTGAATAATAAACAGCCGAATAGTATTTGAAAAATAGATCTACCATTGAACTGCTGTCCATTGTCCAATTTCAATAGTTCAACGAGGAGAAGCAGGATGGTGATGATAGTGGCCATATGGAAGTGCTGGAAATACCTCAGAGCGGAAGCATGTCTGGAATCCGAAAACGATACTCGTAATGTGACCCAAGCAAAAGTCAAATTAGAGTAGCTAAACAAACATTATGTTTAAATCCTGAGTAGCCCATCAATTATAAGATGCGCGGTACTTAATTCATATTTGCTGCTCAATAGTTGCAGTTTAAAATACATTCCTGCCTTTTTGGCGACGTTTGCAGCCTGAATCAACATGGTGGGCAATTGAATTTATTGCGTTGTAGAGAGCAGGAAAGAAATCCCTTACCAGTTCCATGGATTCCGTATCATACTGCGTTTGCTGCTTGTCTTTACATTTCGACGTTCCTCGAGAGTTGATCGCAATTGCAGGGACAGCAGCAAGATTTCTGCAGTATCAGTGAATGTTAGTCTAGCGTCCGCTTGAAGCTATCCTCGGCTGGCGCCTCTGCAATTGTTCCTGGCAGACCGTTCAAATCATTTGCCATCCTAGTAGATAAGATGACCTCCATGGGAATTCTGTGTCTTATTTGCTTAAATAGTTTCCATGCTTGACCTCGTATGAAACAGTCAGTGTTGGGCCAAATAAATGGCTGTAACTCACTTTCTAGTTGCTCTCGAAGTATGCGCGTAGTGTAGAGGAGATCACCTTAGCGACGGTGGAAATCGAGGGAGAACAGATTTAGCTGCTGCAATCGATGCACTTCTCTGAACCTGTTCCAGTAGAGCGTATGCAAACTTTGAAAGCGGATGCATACTTGGTAGAGCATATGCTAAGCTTGGACGGATGTACCAAGTGAACCAAGGTAACATATCGCAGGAGCCACTGGAACTAATGATCTATTTAAGGCACCCACCAGCCGCCTTCCAGTAGCCACCTTCTTCAACGCCTATTGCGTCGTTAAATATCAGAAGTCACGATAACCTCGAGAGCACTCACAAAAGTGGTATTCCTGACATTGAACCCACCAACGTGGCATGCTCCGTAAAGATAAGTGCTACCCATTAGGCCAACAGCGCATTTATCTCGGTTTACTGGCAACTCCTACTTGATGGACCATTAGTGTAGCTGTTCTAGAGCCCCGTAGTGGGTCCGCATCCTCGAGGCTGGATACTGTTGAGCATAGCTTGAGGTTACCGTCGTAGATCAAGCAGTCGGTTGAAGAGCATTCGAGAGGTAGTTAAGGTACAGCTTGAAGAGCTCTGTTCCAAGCACTGATCATTGGAAAACGCCACCAGTCATAGGCACAGGAGCAGAGAGGGTTTGGTTCACTTGTAGGCGCATTGTCTGACCTCTTAAAGAACCGGCAATCCAGGAGACAAGCCTTCATGTAATGCCAATTCCCTGGAGTTTATGTAGCAGTCGTACGTGTAGAACTTTATCAAAAGCTTTACTGAAGTCAATGAATATTATGTCAATCTGTTTTCGGACATCTGTGGCTTCTGCCCATGTTTCTCTGGCGATAAGTAAGTTAGAGATACATGAGCGTGCTTTAAGGAAGCCATATTGAGCGGGTGAGATAATGTTTACGTTCTCACAGTGTGGCTGGAGGGCGCCCTTGACTATTCGTTCCATGGTTTCGCATGCAACTGATGTCAGGCATATTGGTCGACAGTTCGCTGGGTGTTGTTGGTTTCCTCCTTTATATTTGGGCAGGACCGTACCTGCTTTCCAGCCTGTGGGTAGGCAACTGATTTCATGGGATTGCCGAAATACGTGGCAGAGAGAGGCGGCCACGTACTCAGCTTTCGTTTTGCGGAAGCAAGGATACAATTCGTCCAGGCCTGGGGAGCAGTTCGCGTCCAGTTCGAGGGAAAGCTTAGTGACTACCTCGGGGTTAATTACAGTTTGATCCATAGAGGAGTAGTGTGCAGGCAAACAGTTATTGAGCAGCGGAGATTCCAATGAGTAAACCGAGTACTATTGCGCAGGCAGTAGGTTTGCTTTTTCATCGTCGTCGTAGAGCACAGTAATTATCTTAGCAGAGGATAGAGCGGAGATTCTACTACCCGTTTTGACATTTCGCTTCAGGTAGGCGATAAGGTTTTTGAGACAACTTTTTGATTTCACGGCCAATCCAGGTTCATGCTGTAGTCGTTTGTCTTGTTTTGTCAGGGTGCATTGGTTTCTGACAGCTTTGTACTCTGTTGGGCGGAGCGTGGGATACTAGTCGGTAAGCATTGACACGTATGACGTGTCACATACGACAGTATAAAGTCTGAGGCGGCTGAACCCAACGTATATTGTGCAGGCTACAAGAATAGGAAGCGAATCAGTCAGCGCGAGAAACGTGTCCACGGATATGCAGTCAGTAAAACAAATAGATGTTTCGAAGGTTAAAACAACCGTAAAATCCAAGGTTACAAAATACTGAAAGAGCTTGTTTTCCGGTACACTACAAGAGCCTCCCCCTAAAAGGCTGAAGAATGGAAGCCTTCGATGAAGCAGTTAGTGGGGGGAACGGAAGGTGAGGGTGGATGCGAATGTTTGCAGGGGCATGAGAAGGGCTTCCAAAGTGGAGTGTGCAGCAGATTTCGTTGGGTCCAGACTTTTGTTAGTTATTATTTATGACGATCGTGTAAACCAGAGCGCATCATCGGTGGGCCGTCGGGGCGTGCTGGTCGGACTGCAAAAAAACTGGCTAGTCCAGAAAAAAGACCGGCATGACCTTCCTTTTGCTGCAGACCCGACGGTGCGCTTTGGAGGTGTCACTCCCCCCACCGCACTTTAGTCCACAGTCCTCGTCCCACAAAGAATTGCGGGCGTCCTCGCCTCACGAAGAAATCCAGCGTCCTCGTCGGCACTGCCTGGGCGGCATTTGGGGGCAAATCCGTTCGTGGGTGTCTGGGGTTGAGGGCGACTGTTTGTTCCTTGTGTGAGGAAGGGGCTCTGGGACGGCTGGCGAGTCACACCAGGGTTGCGTTGAGCCGGTTGGCGAGTCAGTCGAGTGTTGCCGAAGCAGTTCCGGCGGTTGAGTTTCTGAAAGGTAGAACTCAGAGAGGGTGGGCAACGGTCGGGGAAGTGGCTTGACGCCGGAGAGGGAACATGGCATGCGTGATAAAAGCAAATACGCTTTTTAGGTTTTCAATATATTTTGGGTTTTTTGTCGATTTGGAAAACGTTTGTGGATGAGACGCAGGATAACCATTAAAGACGAAAAAGGCGTGTTAATGAAAATAGCAAACGCTTACAAAATCTGAAAAACGGATCGGACGTTTGACCTGTCTATCGCGTCGGTCGGTTGCCTGGGGTTGAGGCGGGATAGGTTGCAGGTCAAAGGGTACAGAGTGTTCCGGGCTATCCAGTGCTCGGGAAGTCACCACAGGTGCGGGTGCTTGTGCGAGAGCATCAGGATTGGTTGCAAGTGGCTCGTCAAAGAAAGCCACTTTGAGGCGGTCGATGGACACCGTTGTTCGGTGACCATTCTGGTCTAAAGTAAAGTGTTTCGGAGTGCGCTGCAGAACTCTGAAAGGGCCAGTGTAGGGAGACTGGAGAGGGCGCCGCGCTGCGTCGGTGCGGAGGAAGACGTGAGTGCAGGTAGAGAGTCCGCTGTGCATTTGCACATCTCTTGTCTGTTCACGGGGCGGGGTCGGGCGTAGTGAACGCATGCGTTGAGCTAGGGAGGACGCAAAGTTAGGCGGAGGCATACCCGACGATGCGGGAGGTAAAACAAATTCTCCTGGTAACTTGAGCGTCGTGTCATAAACCAGCTCTGCTGGTGCACATTGCAAGTCAGCTTTGATGCCGCTGCGAATGCCTAAGAGAAAGAGCGAAAGGTTTTCGCTCCAGCTAGGGTCGGAGGAGGCGCAGTGCGAGGCTTTAAGCTGTCTATGGAAACCTTCAACTAACCCGCTGGCCGTTGGGTGATACGCTGTGGTATGAATGCGGCGACAGTCTAAAAAGTTGCATAACGTATCGAATTGTGAAGATTCGAAAGGCGTTCCTCGGTCAGTTGCGATGGTGGATGGGCATCCGTAGTGCGAGACCCATCGGTCCAAGAAGGCCCGGATAACAGTCTCAGCTGTGTAGTCTGTTATGGGAATGGATTCTGGCCATCTGGTGAAACGGTCGACACATGTAAGAATGTATACGAATCCGCGTAAAGGAGGCAATGGACCAACCAGGTCTAAGGGTACACGCCAGAACCGAGAGTCTGGGGCAGGAAATGAACCAAGAAGACTGCGGGTGTGACGATGTACTTTGGAGCGCTGGCATTGAAGGCAGGCGCGAGCCCAGGTACGAACATCTTTGTTTACGCGTGGCCAAACGAAACGTTCGGTGATCAGTTTCAAAGATGCACGGAAACCGGGATGTGACAGTGAGTGAATTGCGTCAAAGACTGTGAGTCTGAAGTAGACGGGCACGAGAGGTCTAGGACAACCTGTGGAAGTGTCACAAAGAATGGTTCCTTCCGTGGTTTGGAGAGGAACAGGTAGCACATGCAGCGAAGTGGACTGCAGAGTGCGCTGTATATCTTCGTCTTGAGCCTGAGCCGATGCCATGGCGGCAAGGTCGACGGTAGGCAAAGTCTGCAGAGTGAGGTTGACGCGTGAGAGAGCGTCAGTGACGGGATTGTCGACGCCTGAGACATGACGTATGTCAGCAGTGAACTGAGTGACAAAGTCTAGGTATCTTGTTTCCCGTGGTGAGTATTTGGCACTAGCAGAGTTGAAGGCAAAGATAAGGGGCTTGTGGTCAGTGTAGACCGTGAACGCGCGGCCTTCGAGTGTATGCCGGAAGTGACGTATTGCCAGGTAAATGGCCAGCAGTTCTCTGCCAAACGTGCTGTAGCGGGATTCCGCTGGCTGCAGGCGCTTGGAGAAGAACCCAAGGGGTTGCCATTGCCCACCAAGGTGTTGTTGGAGGACGGATTCTACCGCGACGTCTGAGGCATCAGTCGTAATAGAAAGAGGTGCAGTCGATTCGGAATGAGCGAGGAGGGCTATGTTGGAGATAGCATCTTTGAGCTCGGCGAAGGCTGCCTGTGCTGTATCAGGGAAAG